CTCAAACTGAGATCTCTTGTCTCCCAAGTAGCCAGGATTACAGGTATAAGCCACCCTATCCAGCATGTTTTGATCACTTATGCGTTTCTGCTACCCAGGATGCTCACTGTTCTGATCTCTTGTCTCTCTACCCCATCCCAGGATGGAACCCAGGGCTTTGAACATGCTAAGCTAGCATGCTACCTCTGAACCATACCCAGCCTTTCCCATCTGTGCTCTTTGTCGCCTTCCAAAGCTTTTGCTGCTAAGAAATCTGTCTCCTTCATTCCTGGTGGTTCACACCTATGATCCTAGTTATTCAAGAGACAGAGATCTGAGGCTCACAGTTCCAAACCAGCCCTGGCAGGAAAATCCTTGAGACTTATCTCCCATTAAGTAGCAGTAAGCTGGGCTGGGAATGTACTTAGTGGTAGAGTGCTTGCCTAACACTCATGAAGCTCTGGGTTCAGTTCCTCAGTACCACATGAACAGAAAAAGCCAGAAGTGGCACTGTGGTTCAAAAGTGGTAGAGTGCTAGCCTTGAGCAAAAGAAGCTCAGCGATAGTGCCCAAACCCTGAGTTCGAGGTGACCTGCAGGCCAGCCTGGAAGGCAGGACTTCTTGACTTCCCAGACCCAGCGCCTCTCCTCCCCACCCCCCATCCTGCTGAAGTTTCAGGCAGGACCCAGAGTGTGGCTGGGAACTAGGCCAGACCCTGAGCAGAGGTTTGTGTGCGGGAGTTTCGGTCAGGGCTCGGTCATCTTTGATGTTGTTCACTCAAGTCTGACTCCCCAGTATTTATCTGCAATTAAAGAGCTGGTTCTTAATTAGGCTGATGGCTGTGGGAGATGGCGGGACCTCAGCCTTGGAGCCCTGAGGAGGAAACGATCCTTCTATGAGAGACTGTCCCCTTGCATACAGATTGCCACCTGGGCTGTACAGGAGAGACGTAACGTAGGGTAGCGGGGTGGCGGGGTGGGGGTGTCTGTGGATTCAGGGACTCAGAGATGCCGCTTTCCTCCTTCAGTGCTGTGTTACAGAGAGCGTGGCCACAATTAGAAAATCCAAGTGGACATGCCTCTGTGTGTGTGTGTGTGTGTGTGTGTGTGTGTGTGTGTGTGTGTGTGTGTGTGTGTGTGTGCGGGCACATGCATGACAATGTGCCAATACTGGACTTGAATTCAAGGCCTTCATACTCTTTCTTGGCTTTTGTGCTCAAAGCTGGTGCTCTACCATTTGAGCCACACCTCCACTTCTGGCCTTTTGGTAGTTACTTTTTGTTTTGTTTTGTTTTTGTTGGTTGTGGGGCCTGAACTCTGGGCCTGGGCGCTTTCCCTCAGCTCTTCAGCTCAAGGCGAGCACTCTACCACTTGAGCCACAGCGCCACTTCCGGCTTTTTCTGCTTATGTGGTGCTGAGGAAATAGAACCCAGGGCCTCATGCATGCAAGGCAAGCGCTCTACCACTGAGCCATCTTCGCAGCCCTGGTAGTTAATTGGAAACAAGAATCTTATAGACTTCCCTGCTTGGTCTGACTTGGAACAAAGATGCTCAGATCTCAGTCCTCCTGAGTAGCTAGGACTACAGGCACACGCCACCAGGGCTTGTTCCACTGACTCCATCCTTCACTTCATAAGCTCTTGTCACTGCAGGTACCAAGCTAGAAGGTAGATAGGGTGCTTTAGAGTTTGGAAAGGCCTTTGCCAAAGGATTCTTTGCCTGTGAAAGGCAAAGGAGACAATAACATTGCCTCATTAGATGCTGGTGGCTCACAACTGTAATCCTAGCTCATCAAGGAAGGCTGAGATCTGAAGACTCTGGTTCAAAGCCAGCCCAGGCAACAAATTCATGAGACACGTATCTCCAATTAACCAGCAAAACTCTGGAAGTGGAGGTGTGACTCAAGTGGTAGAGCACCAGCCTTGAGTGCAAGCAAGCAAGATCACAAAGCTTGCCAGGTGCTGGTAACTCACGCCTGAAATCCTAGCTACTTAAGAGGCTGAGACCTGAGAATCACTGTTTGAATCGGCATGGGCAGCAAAGTCCTTATCTCCAATTAACCACCAAAAAGCTGAAGTGGAGCTATGGCTCAAGTGGTACAGCACTATGCTTGAGCAAAACACACAAGAAATTTCAGGGGATGCCGGGCGCTGGTGGCTCATGCCTGTAATCCTAGCTACTCAGGAGGCTGAGATCTGAGGATCGCGGTTCAAAGCCAGCCCGGGCAGGAGAGACCGTGAGACTCCTATCTCCAATAAACCACCAGAAAACCGGAAGTGGCACTGTGGCTCAAGTGGTAGAGCGCTCGCCTTGAGCTGAAGAGCTGAGGGACAGCGCCCAGGCCCAGAGTTCAAGCCCCACAACCGACCAAAAAAAAAAAAAAAATTTTCAGGGGGCTGGGAAGGTGAATCAGTGGTCGAGCACTTGCCTTGCATGCATGAGGCCCTGGATTTGATTCCTCAGCACCACATAAGCAGAAAAGGGCAGAAGTGGCGCTGTGGCTCAAGTGGTAGAGCACTAGTCTTGAGGTGAAGAGCTGTGGGACAGTGCCCAGGCCGAGAGTTCAGGACCCACAACCAGGGCAGGGGGGTGGGGGTGGGTGGGATCAAGCCTCAGTAAAGAAAGGAAGGAAGGAAGGAAGAAAGAAAGAAAAGAAAGAGGTATGGGCTGAAGGTAGCTCAGTGGTAATACACTTGTCTGATATTCTTGGACCCGGGGTTTTCCTCATTCTCTAGTATGTGCCATGGGCTTCAGTTTCCTTACCTCTGAATTGAGCTGTACGAGAAAGTGCCCAGCTTACAGACAGCACCCACTGATACCTGTTCCCATCCTGTCGCCAGTATCCTCACTCTGAGTACTGAGCCTGGCATGCTAAAGAACTTCGGGCCAGGCTGAGCAGTGCTGGGCTGGCCCTGCTCTCCTGGCCTCAGGTCTCCCAGGTGTGTGCCAGATAGACAGTCTATTGGAGCTCAGGATGGAGCTGGGACTGGCCCAGCGCCCGGTGGCTAGGCGGTAAATGCCCATCTTGGGCAGGGAGCAGGACATCTTACTTTCTCCCCTGTCTACTCACTGGAACCTAAGGGCTGGAGTGAAGTCCGGGATGCAAATGATAGGGGCTTGGTGTGAGGAGGAATGATTTCCCCAGCAGATCTCTGCCATCTCAATGCCAAGCAGAGCGCGAGGGTGCATTCCTGGGGCCTGGGCCCTGCCCATTGCTGCTCTTGGCTTTGAAGTGGGACAGGGCTAAAGGCCTAGGGCTGGCTTCCCAGGCTGACATGAATGAAGTGTCTCCCTCCGCTTAGCTGGGCCTGCCGTTCATTTCTCTTGAGGTAGCTGGAGTGTTAAGTTCTCACCAGGCTCCCAGCTCATGCCTTCCTGGGTGCCCCCCTCTCCCAAGGTAAGTGGGGAAGTCACCCCACTGATGCCTGCCCATCTGCCCCTCAAAATCACAGGAGCCCAAAGGGAAGATCGGGTATCACAGTCTTCTGTGTCTGAAAGGCCAGCCCCGAACAAGATCAGGGCGCACGGTCTCCAGGCATGCAGAGATGATCCAAGATGGAATTGGGATGGCATTTCGGAAATGACTGGGCCACTCCTTTGCCATACAGTGGGGAAACCTTGGCCCAAAGAGGAGCAACACACAAACCTTAGAGCTCGCAAGACCCACCTCCTTAGAGAAGCAGGGATTTTATTTTATTTTCAGAATACTGTGGGACCCTCAGCTGCTTACCTACAGGGTGTCTGTAGTTCCTGGAAAACCTATTTGCTGCCAGAAATCAGCTCAGGTAGAGTGGGGTAGCTATAGTGTGTGTGTACACGTGTATGTGTGCGCATGTGTGCAGATACTGTGGTTTTAACTCAGGGCCTAGATGCTGTTCATAGATTTCTTGCTCAAGGCTGGTGCTCTATCACTTGAGCACACCTCCACTTCCAATTTTTTGGTGGCTCATTGGAGATATAGAGTCTCATGAACTTTCTTGCCCAGGCTGGCTCAGAATTGAGATCCTCAGATCTCAGCTTCTTTAATAACTAGGATTACAAGTGTGAGCCACCAGCACAGCTTGCTTGTTTGCTTTCTTTCTCTCTCTCTCTCTCTCTCTCTCTCTCTTTCTTTCTTCAGAGATGGGATCTTAACTATGTTGCCTTGGCTGGTCTTGAGCACCTCCTGTCTCAGACTCCCTAGTAGTTGAACTCCAGGTATACGCCATCATACCCAGATGCTACAGCTCCAGACAGATTAGGAGGTAGCCTAGCCTGTGTGCTTACCTGTCCTGCTGATATTTCAGTGCTTATTTATATCCAATGTGGTTCATGTCTGCACCTCAGATCCATGCACATCTTGGTTTTTGCTTTGCATGGATGTTTAGGGATTGGGGAGGAGAAATAAAAAAAGGAGGTGTCTTCCAATGCCCCCATTGTGTGCTAACTCTCTGGAGGATAAACTGACCCAGAGCAAGTATTTGCACACAGTTGCAAATCTTTTTTTTAGGTCAGTCATGGAGCTTGAACTCAGGACCTGGCACTGTCCCTGAGCTTTTATGCTTAAGACTAGTGCATTCTGCCACTTTGAGCTATAGTACCACTTCTGCTTTTTGGGTGATTAATTGGAGATAAGAGTCTCCCAGGGACTTTTTTGCCCTGGCTGGCTTCAAACCACTGTCTCCAACCTCCTGAGTAGCTAGGATTACAGGTATGAATCACTTTTTGTGTTATTGGTCGTGGGGCTTGAATTCAAGGCCTGGGCACTGTCCCTGAGCTCTTTTGCTCAAGGTTAGCACTCTACCACTTTGAGCCTCAGGACCACTTCCAATTTTCTGGTGGTTCATTGGAGATAATAAGAGTCTCAGGAACTTTGGTGCATGAGCTGGCTTGGAACTTCAGTCCTCTGATCTCAGCCTTCTAATAGCTAGGATTATAGGTGTGAGCCACAAGCACTCAGCTAGTTGCAAATCTTGGTCCCAAGGTTGTCCCAATCCCCAGCGACCTGACTTACCTGTGCTCACTTTTTCCACCTGCCCTGCAGACGCCAGCATGTCTCCAGATGCCAGCAAGCCGAGCCACTGGTGCAGCGTGGCGTACTGGGAGCACCGGACGCGGGTGGGCCGTCTCTACGCCGTGTGTGAGCAGGCCGTGAGCATCTTCTACGACCTACCTCAGGGCAGCGGCTTCTGCCTGGGCCAGCTCAACCTGGAGCAGCGCAGCGAGGCCGTGCGCCGCACCCGCAGCAAGATCGGCTTTGGCATCGTGCTCAGCAAGGAGCCCGATGGTGTGTGGGCCTACAATCGGGGCGAGCACCCCATCTTTGTCAACTCCCCAACGTTGGACGCACCCGGAGGCCGCACCCTGGTTGTGCGCAAGGTACCGCCAGGCTATTCCATCAAGGTGTTTGACTTTGAGCGCTCCGGGGTGCTGCGCGCTGAGTTCGAGTCCACTGATGGCCCCTATGATCCCCACAGTGCCCGTATCAGCTTCGCCAAGGGCTGGGGACCCTGCTACTCAAGACAGTTCATCACCTCGTGTCCCTGCTGGCTGGAAGTCCTTCTCCACAATCACAGATAGAGCGAGCTGCCTGCCGCCGCCACCACCACCACCGTCCCCCAACTTCCAGACCCAGGGGTGCCCCATGGACGAACCCCTCACCCCTACCCCATATCATCTACCTAGATTTAATATAAAGTTTTATATATTATATGGAAAGATATATTATACTTGTAATTATGGAGTCATTTTTACAATGTAATTATTTATGTATGGTGCAATGTGTATATATGGACAAAACCAGAAAGACGCACTTTGGCTTATCATTCTCTCAATACAGATATATTTTCTTTCTTTTCTTCCTTCGTTGTCTTCGTTTTGTTTGTTTAAGAAAGGGATACACCAGCCGGGTGCCAGTGGCTCATGCCTGTAATTATAGCTGCTCAGGAGGCTGAGATCTGAGGATCGCAGTTCAAAGCCAACCTGGGCAAGAAGTCCATGAGACTCCTATCTCCAATAAACCACCAGAAAAATGGAAGTGGGTAGAGCACTCACCTTGAGCTGAATAGCTGAGGGACAGCGCCCAGGCCCAGAGTGCAAGCCCCACAACTGACTCCCCCCAAAAACAAACAAACAAAAAAAATAATGTCAGTCACTCTTGGGGATAAAGTATTCTCATTATAGTGTTTTGTTTTTGTTTTCCAAACTCCTCTTTTCACATAGAAGAGCATTTGAGTGATTTGGTGGGCCTCACCTGACCCATCCAGGACTCTGCAACTTGACTTCAATATTTATGGAGAGGGAAACAAACGCAAAGGCCCCAGGTTCAAGTTCAGATCCTCAGATCTCAGCCTCCTGAGTAGCAGGGATTATGGACTTCAGCCACCTGTGCCCTGCTTGGCTTCAGGGACGCTGTGTCTGGAGAAACTCCATGAAAGGAAACAGGGCCTTCTGCCAGTCGCCAGCTATGGGCTCAGAGTAGATCCCTAAGACCCAGCGGGCCTGTGATAACTACAGGCCTATACACAGCCAGACCAGACCTTCACAAGGGATGGTGGTCACAGGCCCTCCCAATGCCTGATGTACAGGGATTGTGGGAGTTGAGGGATGCTGTTGAGTGATGTTTGTTTTAAGCTTGGTGTGTGGATCGTTTATTACACAGAGATGCTACACAGGACTTTCTAGAGCAAGCACTGCATGTTGATATAAATCTCTCAAGAAAGCACTCATGCCATGTATCATTCTTCTTTGCTATTTAGCTAATGAGTTCCCCCACCCTCCCTTAAAAAAGAAAAGGATATTCTAGCTGGGTGCTGGTAGGTCACCCCTGTAATCCTAGCTACTCAGGAGGCTGAGATCTGAGGATATCTCAGTTCAAAGCCAGTGCTATGGCTCAAGCGGTATCACTAGCCTTGAGGAAAAGGAGCTTAGGGACAGTGCCCAGGCCCAAAGTTCAAGGCCCAGGACCGGCAAACAAAAAATTCTTTTAATCTAGAGAAAACACTGGTCTAACAATATGGCTTTATTCCTGCAATTAGCTAGAGTCTCTAAACCGCCATTTGTCATTCATCCTCCCAGAAGCCCGACCCTGTTCCTAAAGTTGAATACTCTGCCCTGTGCTTATAGCTCACACCTGTAACCCTAGCTACTCAGGAGGCTGAGGTATGAGGATTGTGGTTCAAAGCCAGCCCAAGCAGGAAAGTCCATGAGACTCTTAACTCCAGGGAACCAACAAAAAACCAGAAATAGAAGTAGAGCTGGGGCTCAAGTGGTGAGGCTCTAGCCTTGAGAAAAATAGCTCAGAGACACCACCTAGGGCTCTGAGTTCAAGCTCTCCTGCTGGCACAAGAGGAGGAGGAGGAGGAGGAGGAGGTGGTGGTGGTGGTGCTGGTGGTGCTGGTGGTGGTGGCTAGCGGGAAGGAGATATTTCCCAAACCAGGTCATAGGTCCTTGCAGAGTGGTGGGTGGCTCTAGAGACAGGTAGACAGATAGGTTGGACTTCTTGTCACCAAACCCAAATTTGGATAGGGGGAAAAGGGGTCCTGGAGTTGACTAGGTTTGACAGGATGTTAATCCCCACATTTTCCTCTCCATCTACACCCTATCCCCATCCTTGGTTCCCCATTGCCTATCTCTGTGTATGTACATACACCCAAACACCCAAGCAGGTACTGAGATTTGAACTCAGACCCTCATGTTCTCATGTATGTTTTTCACTCTAGGCTAATGACCTACCACTTGAACCTCAGCTCCACATCTGGCTTTTTGCTGGTTAATTGGAGATAAAGAGTCTCACAGAGGTTCCTACCTGGGCATCCTTTGAAGCTCTGTCCTTAGATCTCAGCTTCCTGAGTAGCTAGGATTTCAGGAGTAAGCAACTGGCACCTGGTTTTCCTTGACTTTTATTTTTATTTTTTTCCTGTTGGTCGCAGGGCTTGTACTCTGAGCCTGGGTAGTGTCCCTGAGCTCTTTTGCTCAAGGCTAGCACTCTACCACTTTGAGCCACTGCCATTTAACCAGCTGTGTGACTTGGGCAAGTTACTTAATTACTCAGAACTGTCATGCATTAAAAACTTTGTGTGTGTGTGTGTGTCCGTATTAGGGCTTGAACTCAGGACCTCACACTCTTGCTTGGATTTTTTCCTCAAGGCTGGCACTCTGCCATTTCAGCCACAACTCCACTCACGTTTTTTGCTGGTTAACTGGAGATGAAAGTCTCAATGGACTTTTCTGCCTGGGCTGGCTTTGAACTGCAATCTTCAGATCTCAGCCTCCTGAGTAGCTAGGATTACAAGGCCTGAGCCACCAGCACCTGGCAAAGCTCTTTTTTTGTGGTAGCCCAACAAGGTGGTTTAGGGACCAGCAATTTTCTGAAGGCTCAAATTTGGCAGATTTGAGTAAATGAACTTCAGTTAGAGAAAGCAAGTGGACTATTTCCAGTGACATCTCATGGATGCCTGTCCCTCCAGACAGACTCAGGATGACAGTGGTCTCACACTGGTCTGCAGTCTCCTTAACACACACACATACACACACACATACCAGCTCACCATCCCAACTCTTAACCACCATGCTGGACGCTAGTAGCTCACACTTGTAATCCTAGCTACTCAAGACTGAGAGCTAAGGCTCATGGTTCAAAGCCAGTTTGGACAGGAAAGTCCGTGAGACTCTTATCTCTAATGAACCAGCAAAAAAGCTGCAAGTGGCGCTGTGGATCAAGTAGTCGAGCACTAGTCTTGAGTGAAAAGATCTAAGAGACAATGACCAGGCCCCAAGTTCAAGTCCCAGTATGAGCACAAAACAAGAAGTCAAGCCACCATGATCCCTCATGACCCACAAGTGCTCATGGCCCTGGGCCAGCCCAGTGCCCGGCACAGAGGACAGACTCCCGGATGTTTGTGGAAAAAAGGGTCACAGAGGTAATGGTTGTGGGCGAGTTGTATAAACTCTAAGGAACGGTGCAGGCATCCAGAGGGTGTATTTATTAGTGTCATGGATCTCCCTGACAGCCCCCAGCTGGTTTCTCCAGGCCCCTGGGAACACTCAACCCTCCCCCAGATTCAGGGACTCTGTGGCCTTATTCTCCTCACTCAGGAGGCCTGGCAGGGAGGTGGGGGGGGGGGGGGGGAAGGCCGGTGCGGCGAAGAGGAGGAGGGGAAGGTGCAGGAAGTCCATTGGATAGTTGAGAACACAGGTTCTGCTGACCACTGGTGGCTCATGCCTGAAATCCCAGCTACTCAAGAGAATAAGATCTGAGGATTACAGTTCAAAGGCAGCCCAGGCAAGAAGATCCTTGAGAGTTTTATGTCTCAACCACCAAACACTTGGAAGTGGAACAGTGGCTCAAGTGGTAGAGCACTATTTTTTTTTTTTTTTGTCAGTTGTGGAGCTTGAACTCTGGGCCTGGGCGCTGCCCCTCAGCTCTTCAGCTCAAGACCAGCGCACTACCGCTTGAGCCACAGCGCCAGTTCCGGTTTTCTAGTGGTTTATTGGAGATGAGTCTCATGGACTTTCCTGACCAGGTTGGCTTTGAACTGCCATTCTCAGATCTCGGCCTCCTGAATAGCTAGGATTACAGGCGTGAGCCACCGGTGCCTGGCTAGAGCACTATTCTTGAGCAAGAAAGCTCCAACTACTCAGGAGGTTGAGATCTGAGAATCTCGGTTCAAAGCCAGCCGGGGCAGGGAAGTCCGTGAGACTCTTGTCTCCAATAAACCACTAAAAAACTGGAAGTGGAGCTGTGGCTCAAGTGGTAGAGCGCTCGCCTTAAGCTGAAGAGCTGAGGGACAGCGCCCAGGCCCAGAGTTCAAGCTCCACGACCGGACCAAAAAAAAAAAAAGAAAGCTCAGGGACAGCACCCAGTCCCTGAATTCAAGCCTCAGGACTGGCACAGATGCCTGTGCACACACGATGCACACACACAGCTGGAAGATTCCATCTCATTAGGAGGAACTATATAATATTGTGGCTAATTTTTCACTCTTGTAGAAGTCTAGCCATGAGCCAAAAAAGCCCAGAGACAATGCCCTGACCCTGATCCTGAGTTCAAGCCCCAGGACTGGCACACATGCACACACATGCACACACACACACACACACACACACACACACACACACACACACACACGATATGACTCTATTGCTCCTCTTCCTCAAAGAGAAGGAAGTGGGTGGAGATGGCGGCAGGCTGAGTGCGGGAAAGTTAGCTCAAAGTCAGCTGCCCAAACAGCATCCTACTGTGCTCTTAATTCCTCCGTCCTAGACAGTGGTCAGCCTTGATTCTTCTGCTCTGAGATCAATGAGCATGAGATCCCTGGTAGGAGGCAAGAAACACTCTTTCCGGAGAGAGTGGCAAGATGGCCACTTACTACTCATGCTGACGCAGGAACCAGAAGGATCGCCAGACGTTTGGAAGGTGGGAGGCGGGCCACATCATGCTCGAGAAGAAAAATTTCATTGCTTAGCCCTCTTAGGGTCCACCATGATTCCTATCTACCACATCTGGGTTCCGTTGTTTTCTGTTGCGTTAGCACTGCAGCTTGAAGTCAAGGCCTGGGTGCTGTCTCTTAGCTTTTTTCCCTCAAGGCTAGCACTTTATCACCTGAGTCACAACTCCCAGATTTTTTGTTTTTAGAGTTTCATACTTTCCCCACACAAGCTGGCTTTGAACCTTGATCCTCAGCTCTCAGACTTTTGAGATGAGTGGCATGAGCCGCTAGCACGGGCTTTCTTTTTTGTTTTTGACAGTGCATCCAGGCAGCTATAATGGAACAGAAAGGAATTTTGGTCTGACACAAAACACCCAGCAATTCCTGCACACAGGTAGAAGAACTGACTCCTGTTGGGTTCTTTTTTTTTT